CAGTTTAAACTATATTATTATTTATCATAGAGATTATATTTTTAAGAAAAATCCTAACAAATTTATGTAATTAAATGACTTTTGTTCAGAGTATATATTATCCACAGATGTTAACAGAAGCAAAGGAAAAAAACACGAACAAAGATGTGTGAGATACTAGCACATCACACTCTCCTTCTAGCTGGGAAGTTCTCATTTAGGGTTAAGATCGTCTCTGTAGGAAAACCAAACTAAACACATTTTAACTGTGTTTAACTATATTATCCCACATTTACTAAATGTTTTCTTAGTTATTTTGAATAACATCAGCCTTTTAATTTTAAGAAACTATGGCATCTTCTTTCTTAATAGGCTACATATAACAAAGGTTTATTAACATATCTTTTAAACCTATTTGGGGCAAAATTATTTTCTGTTGGAACATATGCCCGGTACTGTATATAATGCAAATAGGAGTTATTAATCGAATTTAGAGAAATTAATTAAAGCCAAACATGTATTATAGCCATTCCTTAATATGAATTACAGAGACTAATTTAGTGTCACTCATCATGTGTAAGTATAGAGTCCAGCCACTAGGTGGCGATCTCAGTGAATTTTTGTTACTAAATTTCCTAACTAAAACTTAGTTGTATGTTATGCACTATACTAATTTTCAATTTACCTAGTTGGTTAATTTGACGTTTCTACTCGTGTGTCTATTTTTTTACATAGAGAGGAATAGACATTTTCCCAGATGAGCCAAACATAATTTTAACCAGTGTTTGCTTCTTAGAAATGGTGGAGTTTCTGTTCTTATCATAATGGAATCTAGGTTCTCGAAAACAGAGTCATCAGTGTATTTGGGGTAGTTATGTTGAAAGTTTCAGAAGAAAAATGTTCCTTTGCAGCGTGGTTATAATTTCCACATGAAACGCACTGCCATGGAGTAGATGAGACTCATAGCGACCCCTCCTTGGGTTTCTGAGGCAGTATCACTATGAAAGTAGATTGCCCAACCTTCTTGGGAGGAGTGTCTGGTGGGTTTGAACTGCCAGCATTCTGGTTAGCAGTCAAATGCCTTAGGCCCTATGCCACCAGAGCTCCATTATTACTAGCTCAAAAAACAGTATTTTGATAAAGCTAAATTATGGTTATTATTTAGGTTTGTCAAAATACTGTTTTTTGAGCTAGTAATAATGGGTTAATTGGATCATAGCCACACAACCTGTACACACATGGGGGACAAAAGGAAAAGGAAGCACTGAGGGACAGAGGTTACATAAGCATCATGGATCAAAAAATCTAAAGTCAAAGCAGTATCTTAGGCATCATCCTGTGGGTACTGGGGCTGCTTTGGCTCTTTTAGAGCTTCTTCTTGTTGTTGTTGTTTGCCGTCGAGTCGGCCCCGACTCATAGCGACCCCTCCTTGGGTTTCCGAGGCAGGATCATTACGGAAGTAGGATTGCCCAACCTTCCTTCCGAGGAGTGGCTGGTGGGTTTGAACCGCCAGCCTTCTGGTTAGCAGT